GCGCTCTACTGCCAGACTGGTGAACATCAAGACCTAGAATGCGGACCTCCAAAACCTCAGGAATGGTCACTGCACCTAGTGTAAATGTATAGGGACACTGCTTGATTTTTCTGCGTCCTGTCTTGTTAACCATCTGAATATAGCTTGATTTCTGGGCGGACTTGTCTAACCCTGCGTTTCGAGTGTAGTTCTGAAGAACATCAAGGGCTTTCTGAAGCTGTTGTGCTTGTCTTGAGACGTCTTTATGCACAGAACTTAAAGTCACATCATCAGCGTATATCAGAAACCTCACGTCTGGAATTCGGTGTAGCTGCCATGCTAGAGGTATTAGAGCAATGGTGAATAGGAGAAGAGCCAAAACGAATCCTTGCGGGAAACCTCTGTTGGACATGAAGCAACCTTCAGACTTTACGTCTGCTCTTATCGCAAATGTGCGGTTGTGAAGAAAATAGTAAAGAAATCTTACTACCCGCAGTGGAAATCTGAGCTCGATGAGGTTGAATAAAATGACATCATGGTTCATGTTGTCGTAAGCTTTCGTTACGTCCGTTGCTACTACAGTGCGTACTGCGTTGCTGTATAGAGAAACTTTTAAAATGCCATCCGACAAGATAGAAAGACCATCTTCAGTCCCTGAATGAGAACAGAACCCGATTTGAGCCGGATGGTACTTATTGTGTAGTTCAAGCCACCAGGAAACAGGTTTAGCCAGCATCTTTTCAGCAAGCTTGCAGACTTTAGCATTCAATGAAATTCGGCGTAAGGATTGCAGGTTATTTGAAGGCTTTCTTGGTTTTGGAATCGGGACGACTGAGTGTTTTCAATTAGATGGGACGTACACAGTCTCCCATACTTTATTGACAGCCTGCAGAAGTGCATCGAGAGCTTCAACTTCCATGTTCTTGGAAACTTCGTAAGGAATACCGTCGGGGCCATGTGTTGTTCTTTGGTGACAAGCTTCAATCGCCGCTATTAGTTCGGCCCTGCCGAAATGACTGGATATATAGGATTTGGCACTTGGATAGAGCTCGTTGATTTCGGGGCAGGTTATAGAAGATACTTCGGGAAAAATGCTCTTGCAGCCTGCTCTGCGAATTTTCGTGGCGTACTTTGCATCGATAACCTAAGGCTCGCTGCAGGGTCAGGTTGCTTGCGTCCGCGTTCCGCCGACCGGAACGTACGCAAAAGGGCTGTGTTTCCCATGCCAGATCCTAGTTTCTTACACCACTCATGCTGCCGCTGTCTAGAAAGCTGCTTTTCGTGCCAACGCGCCTTTGCAGCTATACGATTGGCATGTGCATGGGTACCTGGTACATCTGGATTCCTCGATGCATACAGCTCCACCTGACGCCGCTTCGCCCAGATTTTCAAATGAGCGAGGTCCAGTTGAGATCATTCTTCGTGAACGGTGGTCACGACTGTGTTACTGTGGAGCAGTTCTTGCGAAGCGGGAAGAATTTTTGTGGGCTCTGTGGGAACTTTAACAATTGATGATTCTCAAAGGTTATTCAAATGCGTGATCGCTACGCGTCGTCGAATTTTCTTCACGAATCTTCTTTGTAAACCAAATATTGATTCGCATATGATCAGCACCTCAGGTATGCGGCTCCACTCGTCATCTCGACGTCCGAGAACCCTACCACCATGTGAGATCTGGAGCGTGCTTTTCAGATGTTGTACGTACAGAGCAGGTAGACACAGCGTGATGGTTCAACAGAGTAAACGTTGCATTAGTCATGATGTTTTCAACCTGGCATCCTCGTTGGGAGCTGTGCTTGTATCCCTAATCTGTAGATGGAGCATTGAAATCTCCACTTACGAGAATGGGAATTCTCGGGTACGTAGAACGCAGATGTGCTATCCATCCAAAGTTAAGACGTCTGCTCTGTGGTCTGGCATAAAAAGACACTAGTATGAGAGGAGTTTTCAATGGTCCTGTCAGCACAGCGACAACTTCTTGATTGCCACTGCACCATCGTGCCATAGTAATCATTGTATGAGGAATACGCGATGACCCATACACTGCGGCTTTTCCCGAAGTTTAACGCATAGTCGTAGCGCTTTTATTTGATATGTGGAGTTTAACGTCCCAAAGCCACCATATGATTATGAGAGACGCCGTAGTGGAGGGCTCCAGAAATTTCGATCATCTGAGGTTCTTTAACGTGCACCAAAATCTGAGCACACGGGCGTACAAAAGTTCCGCCTCCATCGGAAATGCAGCCGCCACAGCCGGGACTTGAGCCCGCAACCTGCGGGTCAGCAGCCGAGTACCTTAGCCACTAGACCACCGTGGCGGGGCATTGTCGTAGCACGCCTATCTGTACTGGGCGGGTTATGATACCCATTGAAAGTGTACAAGGAACACAGCTTCTTATGCTCTTGAATAAGTAGTGCCCATACATGTAGCTTGTTGTATTCAAGCTTGGTTTTAAATTCTTCTAACTTAAGCTGAAGCCTCGACACTTGCTCCTATTTTGGTTGTATTGACAGTAATCACGACATCGTACAAATACTTCTTGAAAATCCGAGGTCAGTTCCTCTTTACATCCTTAATATTTACAGCAGTACCAACTCTAGACACCACCGTTTTCCCACCTTTTTTGCTTGTGTTAAATAGGAAGATCGGAGAAATTCGCTGCTAATCGATTGTTGGCGACTTCCATTCTCCAAATCAGCTATGAAATAACACGATATCCACGCCTAAAGGACAAGCCTTACGGACCCACATACGGGAGGGTCAACTCACCCGGCAGAATGACTTCGACATGCCTACCCGCTTAGGAAACAGCGTCTCCAAAGTCAGGTCAACAGATCTCATCATGACCTCTCAGGTTAACTTAGCTAAACGGGATAACCTCCAAATTAATTTTCGTAACAACCACTACGTCATTCAGACCTCTCCTAGTTTTTATTATAAGCCCTTTAAGAGGAAACCTCCGAAACTAACGGAGTGGGAGAAATTTCGATGAAATCGCGTGGTTGATGCTCCGGTTTCCATGAACGATTTAAAGGGTAGTTACACCTAATTCAAGCGGATGTTGGAAAACATACTAGAAGTATGCTTTCCGATACTCCATTTCACACAGTTGATGCTGAGCTACTGTGCGAAGCTACGGAGTCGCTATTAAAGCGATGGAATAGACACCACCGCACCCACAGGCTTTGCATCCGTGTAGCAAGGCTCGATAACGACATGCCCACATATGCGACACAGCTGGTCAATCAACAATGGAGTTAAATGTGTGAGAGCATGCATGGTCATCCCAGTAGTAAGAAAACTTGGCAACTTTGGATGCATTTGCTCAACCTACGGACATCGCGTGCGCATCACAGGCATTAAATCACTAGATTATTGCACCAACACAATCGTTACATCCCGCATCTTTTTAAGGAACTTGCATAACTGCACCTCCACCTCACTTCAGCCCACGCACAATGAGACTATGCAGGTGAAGTCAATGAAGTTGTTGACGCCCTAACAATGGAAACGGAAGTTCGACGTTCTCTATTTTGTCTTGAAACTACATCTGTCCCGGTATTGATAAGGTACCTAATATATTACTTCAAAATCTCGATGACGAATTGATTTCCCTCGCAAATTACCACACTCACTGTTTCAATAATAGCTCCCTTCTTAACTCACGCAGAGCCACTAAGTTCAACTTTATTCCAGAACTTATTAAACCCTTAAACATAGTGCCACATTCCATTTCTCTAGTTTTGTTATCGCCCCAAAACACTACACAATTATCAGTGCCAAACGCGCGTGGAGTTTTAGAAAGCTTCCGGACTTTAGTAGATCAGTTCAATAAGATCACGCCCACTCTGCGAACTGTACAGATTATTCTGGAACCTTCGCCACCGCCAGCGATAACGCTAGAATATTCGATGGGAAGAGTATAGCCGACGCACTTCGCCGCTTGTGAGTAGTTGATCGACGGCCGACGCTCCGTTCGCCGCTATCAGTCCAAGACTGCTACTGTAATCGGACTTTCCGTTTACCGGGCACAGGTTTGCCAGAATAAACAGTTAAATTCCTACACAAAGTCTCCTGTCTTCAGCCACGTCACGACCCCGTGACATCTGGTGGAGGTGCTGTTTCTTCCATGTACCGGACGCCTCCTTCAAGGCGCGACCCCAGCCCAAGCGTCAAAGAAGACACAGACGCTAACCCTGAACAGCGAACAAGCCGCAGGCAGAGGGGACTACAACCAGAGTACGGGCCCCTTCCTGAAGCAGCCAGGCAGATTCGAATCCCGACATCAACTTGTCGCGAGGGCAATATCTCGCGGAAAACTTTGTTCTTTTTCAGCTACAGCTGGAGTTTGTTCTTTGCCAGATGCCCTTGTTTTCAGTTTCAGTTTCAGTTTCAGTTTATTTTTTCATTTCAAAAAAGTAGTACAGTAATAATAATATACAGACGAGGGTCCCAAAGTTAAAAACTGTAACGGGACCCTCGATGCATTATAACAATCAATAAATCAGATCAAGTTAACGAGCAAAGAGTGAATGGAAATCAATTATACAATATAGCGTGATGAGTAATTATTATAGGCTAAGTGACACATCAGGCAACAAAAAGCAAGGCAAATAAGGAAAGAAAAAAGAAAGAAAAAAAAAACATCTCGTTCAGTGGCCGACATTGTCAATCGAAATGCAATGATCTAAATGGCATAACCAAAAACGCAAAGCCCCCAAAAAGCCCACATACAGGTAGCTAATAATTTAACAGAAAACTTTTAAGCGACTTTTTGAATGATGACAATGGGGGCATCGTTTTAACAGAAAGAGGCATGTTATTCCAAAAAGTAATGGCTGCAAAGGCAGAGGTCATTTTTCCATAATTTGTGCTCGACGCGGGTAGCAAAAAGTTAAGGTTCATTGCAAATCTGGTTACATTGTTGTTTTGTAAGAAAACTGAATCAATGAACTCAAACGGTAGCAGTGCATTGCGCAATTGAAACAGAAGAACGGCAATGCTATAAAAAATAACTTACGAACAGGTAGGATTTTGTTGTTTTGGAGTAGATGGCCTGCACTGGAGTATCGTGAGCTATTAGTGATAATGCGAATCGCCTGATTTTGTATGTTCTGAATGGGTGATAGATGACAGTCATACGTGTTTCCGCAAGCAGCGATACCATACATGATATGGGAATGAATGAAGGCGAAATACAGAGACATAAGTACGTGTATATGAAAAACTTCACTAGCTTTTATTATAGCCCGAATTCCGAATGCAGTTTTCTTTCTGAGGTGATCAGTGTGGAGATTAAACTTTAAATGGCAGTCAAGATGTACACCAAGAAAAATTACAGTATCACAGGTGGGTATAGAGTGAGGACCTAGGGTCAAGGGTTGATGAAAAGGCAATGGCCTTTGAGTGGACCTAAATATCATAAACTTGGTTTTGGCTGGGTTAATAATAAGTTGGTTCTCGTAGCACCATTTAGTAATATCTAGAAGTGTGTTATTCAAGTGTAAAGTAAGAGCAGTTAGAGAGTCCTCAGCTGCAGTTATAGTCGTGTCGTTTGCGTATAACACGCAGTGAGTAGATTTAATTGCATCGACAAGATCATTATTATAAATAATAAATAATAAAGGGCCCAAAATAGAACCCTGGGGCACGCCTTGATTGATTAGCTTAGTTTCGGAAGAAGCGCCTGATACGTACACCGAGCATTCTTTATTGTGCAGATAATTTTTCAGGAAGGTTAATGGAGCTCCAGTTACCTCATAGGCCTCCAATTTGTTAAACAGGGTGGCATGATTAATGGTGTCCCAGGCCTTGGTGAAATCTAGGAAGACAGATCCAACAAATTTACCAGAGTCAATCGATTTTTTTTTAGTAATCTATTAAAGAAACTAGTGCTAAGCTTGTCGAACTGCCTGAACGAAAGCCAAATTGACACGGATGAAGTATAGTAAATTTGCTTAGGTAGTTACTTAAACGATCAACGAACAGTTTTTCAATGACTTTGCTGAGGGAAAAAAGAATTGATATGGGTCGATAATTAGAAACTGTTCTTTTGTCACCCTTCTTGAATACCGGAACTATTTTAGATTTCTTTAAGAGTTTAGGAAATACGCCTTGCAGAAGCATTAGATTAATGATATCACTAAGTATCCCAGAAATATTACGCGCAACCAGTTTTAAGTGATACGCAGAAATATTGTCAAGACCTGCGCATTTATTTTTTAGATTCAAGAAAACTGAGCATACTTCGTCAGCGGTTACGGGCAAAAGAAAAAATGAAGAAGCGACCCGAGAAACGGAACATTTTGGTATGACCGATTGTGTAGTACGAATGCTAGAAAAAAAATCGCTGAAAGCATTTGCAATAGAAGTTGGCTGTTGCAAAGAAATATTATTATATATTATTTCAGATATAGGTGAGTTTCCAGATGATTCGTTTAAAAAGTTGTTCAAAAGGTTCCATTGTTTTTTAGCGTCCCCCTGATGTTTGGTCAACTCATTTTCATAGTAACGCTTTTTTGCTTCTCGGAGTAAAATTTTCAAATTGTTGCAATATTTCCTGTATCGGCGGGCAAGCGAAGTATTAAAAGGCTGTCTTTTTGTTTTTTTGTAAAGGTTATCTTTTTTACGAACACTTGTCAATAAGCCGTTTGTCATCCATGGATTGTGGGGAAATTTATAACGTTTTTTGCATTTAACAGTTGATGTACTAGATGTTACGGCCTTTAAAAATAAAGCGCAGAATTTCTGTAGCATAGCCTCTACGTCGGAGCAGGCATTATCAAGAATATCGGGCTTAATAAGTGAACAGTCAGTTGTAGTTATAGCATCGATAAACTTGTCATGATCCAGCACAGATGTGTAAAAACAGCTATCGACACTGGAGGGCCTAGCATTAAATGTTATTTAAACGGGGAAGTGATCTGTAATGTATGTGTCAACTACGCCAGCCTCGGGGGCGGGAGAAAAATTGCATAAGACATGATCTAAAAGAGATTGGGAACCCTGGTGGCCACATCTTGTTGGAGCAGTGATAAGTGATTCGTAGCCGAAGCCACTGAAGCAGTTCGTGTACGCCGAGTAGACACTGGATTCCATATCTAATAAGTTTATGTTGATGTCCCCTACCAGTACAACTTGCTTATTCTCAAAAGATAGCTTGTGAAGTAATCTATCAAGATTTGACAGAAATTCTAGAACAGGAGATGAAGGAGAGCGATACACACTGCCAATGATTAATTTTTTCTGTTGTTTAGGGGTGACTTGCCACATTCGATCCACACAGATTCGCACAGTGGTACGGTGAAAGACAGATCAAACCTGCGCGTGTACGAAACCACACTGGAAACAAAAATTGCAGCCCCACCATGCGCGTCATAAGATCGGTGACAATACTCTGCCTGATACTGTGGAAAAGAATACATGTTACGGCGGTCTGCGTCGCACAGCCACGTTTCCGAAAGGCACATAAATGAAAACTGGTGGTGCAGTAGAGAAAGAAAAGTGGTAATCGCGTCATAGTTCTTTCGGATGCTGCGAGCATTAAAATGAATTAGCGAATATTTCTGTAACAGTAAGCGAATGTTTGAGGTTGTTAACGGTAATCGAAGACAGAAAAAAAAAAGAAAAACTTAGTGGTCGATACAGAATATGTAAGGCGTCGTTTAAATGAAAATCGAAAGGTCAGAGGCGGTATTTATTCGAAAGACCCTGGTATCTTCAGACTTGCGTGCCAGGATGCGACAGTACTCTGTCCAGCGGCGCCGTTTAATTTAGTTTGTTTAGCGGCGCCGTTTAATTTGTCTCGGGGAGCGCGCCTTGAGGAAGAATGAGTCTGAACAGAAAGGGCTGCATCCAGTCGGTCACTGTGCGCTTCCCGCCAAAGCAGGCACCGCGCCGTGATTTTGACTGGACTGAAGAAATTAGGTGCCTTTTTCCTCCTAACCAATGAGCCCCCCACGCTTCAAACGAACTAGCCGCCGCTTCGGTCCTCCGGGGACAAAGGGCACCGAAATTTGAGCGCTTGTTAGCTCGTCAAGGCCGTTTCAGAGAATGCAACCGTTTCCAGAAGCTGCCACAGTTTTATCGCGAGGCAGGATTCGTTTCCTTCACGCCCCGTGCGCAAATGACTGTAAGCACACAGCGGGGGTACTTCGCGGGACGACCAGAGGCCGAAAATTGAGACCATGTGTGCGCATCGCCTCTGCTTGCCGGAAAGTGGTGTGTACAGAAAGTGAACTGATATTGTCGCGAGGCAGGCTTCAGGCAACCACGAAAACTTATGTTGATGTGGTTGTCCTCGGCTTGCCTGGTTGGTCTGCGCAACCGGGGACGCTAAAAAAACCAAGTTTAAGCAGCGACTCGGGCTCTTTTTGAGGAGAGTGGAGTCAGGGTCAACAGCGCATCTCACCACCGGAGACCTAGTGCATTTCTCGCTTTGTGACCTAGTGCATTTTGTAAATTGAAGTTGCGTTAGCTAAATAAACCCCGAATGTGTACTCCCCAAAATCATCGTGTTGAATTCTCATCGATTGCCTCCACGGAGTTTCACCCACACTTATTCGTCTCCCTGGTCTTCCGATGCGTCTAACTATGAACAACCCCGACGTTTCGCTACAAACTACTGCAACCATGACCGCCCCCGTGCAGCCTGCACCAGTCTTGCTCCGGCAACCCAAAGATCCGCCAACTTTCCGCGGTTTGCTACTGGAAGACCCGGAAAGATGGATTGAAAAGTTCGACCGCGTCACCGCCTTCAATAACTGGACAGACGATGACAAGCTCCGGCATGTGTATTTCACCTTAGAAGATGCGGCTCGGACCTGGTTCGAGAATCAAGAGCGAAGCCTTACAACGTGGGACGTCTTTTGCGCCAGGTTCCTCACCACTTTCGCAAGTGTGGTGCGCAAGGGGAAGGCCGTAGCTCTTCTTGAAACCCGCATGCAGATGCCAAACAAAAACGTGGCGCTATTCACTGAAGATATGATTAAACTTTTCCGCCACGCTGACTCCGACATGTCCGAGGAGAAAAAGGTCAGTCTGCTCATGCGAGGAGTAAAGCAGGAACTCTTTGCCGGGCTGATCAGAAACCCGCCAAAGACAGTCGCCGAATTAATTTGAGAAGCATCTACGAAAAAGAAGACGCTCGAGATGCGCACGCGGCAATACAACCGTAGCTTCTCGTCTACCACCTACGCCGGAATTCAAACGCTTGGAACCACTGACTTGCGTGAGACGATCCGAGCGATTGTGCAAGAAGAGCTGCAAAAATTACTTCTTTCAGCGCAGCGTCACGTGGAACCCATCGCGGACGTCATACGCCAGGAGATCCAGCAATCGCTGGGCGTTCCTCAGCCTCAAGAGCCTCAGCTGCAACCCATGAGCTATGCTGCTGCAGCCCGCCGCCACGCCCCTCCTCCGCGCGCTCGCCTAAACGCTGCCCCATCGCACTTCCGTCGCCAGACGCCATCGCCGCAACCACCCCCACCGACGTCCTACCGTTCGCCAGCGGCACAGCGCAGTGCGCCAAGGAAGACTGACGTCTGGCGCACCCCTGACCACCGCCCGCTCTGCTACCACTGCGGCGAGGCCGGACGAACATACCGGCGTTGCCAGTACTGACAGATGGGACTGCGTGGCTTCGCCAATGCACCGCGTCCGCAGCCAGGAGACACTCAGTCAATGCACCGCGTCCGCAGCCAGGAGAACGGCCACGGGACATCGCCGACTACCTGACAAGAACTCAATGGACACCACGAAGTCCTTCCCGTTTGCCGTCGCCCAGCCGCCGCATGTCACCGTACCCCCGGCAGTACTCAGGCCCAACACGGGGCCGGTCTCCTAGCCCGTATCCGGGAATTTTAAGGGCGGCAACAAATGGAGGTGCGGTTGCTGTGCGACAAACTACCGAAGATACTCCGACGACGACGACGCCGCGACGGAGCTTTCCGAACACAACGCCAACCAGGCAAAGCCCTGACGGTGAAACCTCACTTACCGAAGGTGACCTTACGACGCAACATGGAAGCAGCGGAACAAGCTGACGCAGCCTTGACCCGACGCCATGCCCTAACTGTAATGCGAGACGGCGAACTAGCGACCTGGACGTTCTTAGCGACGGCCACAGTGTGGCCGCTCTCGTCGATACGGCAGCCGACTACTCCGTCATCAGTGGGTCGTTAAAAAAAGTTAAAGAACGTTTGGA